GACCCAAATTTACCGTATCAATCTACTTGAAGAGAAGATAATCGATAAATGTGTGTTGAGGCAAACTTGGACCAGAAGAAAATGATTGTGAGCTACTTTCTCCAACGAACACGCCATCGCAGTGAGCCAATCAGACGGCTCGGTATAAAACTTTCAGTGAGGCCGTGCGATCGACCTAGGCTGCGTCCGCATTTTAGTACTCCATAGACCTTTGTCTGCGTGGAATAAAGAAGGCAGATCAGAGGATGAATAAACTGGAACATTTGCTTACTTGCTTTATGCTTTACTGTTGCCACGAAGAGCAGGCTTGCTACCAAGAAGCCTTTCACATACCAACCTTGCCTTACGATGTGATATTGCTGGCCAGCCTAATGAGGTAAAATATTTATGTGGGCTCTATGGATTACCAAACTTTTTTACCTTTCTCTGTTCGGAATCAGCTCATATGCATTAGTTTGTCCACAAAAAGCCATATTTTTCAAACAATTTGAAAGTCAGTTGGGTTGCATGTACCATATTCTTCAAACTAAAAAGACCCATTTTCCAACGTTTATCCTTGCCTTTCAGAATGGTTGCTTCCAAGTTTGTACAAGAATGCTCAATTTGTCTTGAAATGGGATGGTTTAAAATATAAAGCCAGGGTGTTTTGTCCGTTTGAATTACTTCATGTGGTTAATATGCGCGAATGTGTTTGTGGCCATCCTAAACATTCACGAGCCTCATATTTCGGGTAGAAATCTAGAACTTCAGGCACTCACGCGCATTTTCGTAAGGATTTAACAGCTTCTTTAAAGTGCAGGAATTTCCAGGCACAAGCCAAAATTTCATAGTGGTGCGATTTCTTAGTGTCAGGCCTCGTGAACTTCGGGTAGACGCATCCTGACAGCCTGACATTTGTGTAAAATAAGTTAATAGTGAACCTACGATTGAGTGGTAGTTCATATTTTGCGTTTAGAACATGGGCTTCTTTTGGTGACCCAGAAAAATGGGGAGATATTGTTTTGTATGCAAAGGTCAGTGATTTGTGTAAAATTAAGGTTTTGTGCACCACAGTGGCCAGAATATACGCCAAAATTGTGCAAGAAATGCAGAAGAAAGTGTGCGAAAGCACGCATTCGTCACTGCACTTATAAAGTTTGATTAAAGTCGTTACACCAGGGATTTGGACTAGGGGCGAGAGAGAGAGATCCCGTAGCCAAACGCATTATGCAAATGCTGGTAGTCTCAAAGGCACCGCAGTTCCAGACTGTCTTCTTGAAAAGTCTCCATGAGAAAGGCGAATTAAACACTGCTCCCATCCATCTGTAATTCCTCATTTACAACCCCGCACTATTCATTACTGCGGTCTCACCTTTCATCCCACTCACCCCATTCAGGTAAATACAATTAGTTAAGGTGATGTTCTCCTTAGAGGTTTCGCACTTGGGCAATTGCTCATGAGATTGCTTAATTAATGATTGAGTATCGTCCAGAAAAAGGCATCCTTATACAATTTAAATGCAGTACAGAGTACAGTTCTATTTGTTCTTTAGTTTTTATTATTTTCAGTTCCAAATAAGATGGGTGAGAAGCACACATATGGCTGTTAAAGCGACAGCCATGAAGGTGTATCTGCCGGGACTTCTTAACTTGACGATGGCGAAGGTGAGTAGGGAATTGTTTAAAGAAATGCTTACAGAAAACCATAAATCTACCATCCAAATTTACGGCTAATTAATGTCTGGTTACACACAATTGGCAGAATTTTTTGTGACTCAAATAGATAAATAAGTACACTTTTGCTTCTGTTACTTCTAAGCTACTTTTCAAGTTGCTTTCCTTAGAAGATTTGCGGCAACATCTTCATTAACTTCAAAAATATTGGCCAACCGAAAAGTTTATGCGGTTAACAGACTGACTCACTGCGTCGACTTCTGGTAACTTTGGTGACTAAAAATGCAGTTGCATGCATGCATTATAAAACATGGATGGATGTACGTCAGTTTATCAGTACGATCCTCTTCATCCTCTTCTCTACTGTTTTACCCAGTTTTGCACCCTCACCGAGTATTGGTCGAACTCGATGAATGTGCTGTATGTTTGGTTGCCTTACAAAGTTAAGCCCGCTTCCAATGCTGTGGATGCACCCATTGAGACTGGGTGGTAACATGTGCATCTTTGAATTGAATGATGAATGAAGGAACGCCAAAGATGGTTATCTTCATTTAAATGATGTATTTTGACCTTGAAAAGTTCACAGTCATGCACAAGCACAATGCAATAGGTAATATTTCCTCTTCTTTACGAGGTCCTTTTCCCGGATTCAGATTCCGTTTTCATGTCCGATGTTGTCGAGTTGTGGAAGCATTTCGACCGATTTAGAGAATGTCAGGTAAGAAGCCCCCTTCACGCGCTCTAAGGCATGCAAATGTATTACCCAATTGGCTTGAAAAGCACCATTAACGTTTTGGTATTCCTACTTCAAAAAAAGGTTTGTGTACCTTCCCTTCACCGTTTTTGAGAATGGCTGTAGAACAGGCCCCAAGTCCCTTTGATTTCACACGTCTAAGTGATAATTAAAGGGTAAGCAGTGAAAAACATTTCTAAACCACAAAGTAAATACGATGCCTATGAAACTCTGGGTGTGAGCAGCAGCAGTAGTAGTAGAAGCAGCCTGTATTAATTGACGTTACGTTTTATCACAGCTGTGGCCTTCCGGCTGCAACGCTAATCCAACGATTTGGTGCGACAGTCAAGTGACGCAGGTGGAGTGGGAGGCATTTTGGAAACCGACACTCAATCGAGCTACGCAAACGCATATTTGCATCTTGGTTTTTATATTTTTACGTTAAATGAGACATTTCATTTACAGCTTCCAAACAGCTCCACGATGTGTGAAATCAAAGGATGTATCAGAGAAGTGGATGTGGTTTTAAGAATGCAAAATATTGTAACCATACCAAGCTTCATCAACCTGATTGACAAGAAGGTGAATCAGTTTATCCCATATTATTCTACAAATAGGATAAGCGGAATGCTTCATTTCTGACCTAAATGAACTAAAGACAGCTAAATTTACCCTTTCCTTAGCATAAAAATACCTTTTTTACCAAAATTGTGTAATTGAAAGAGAAGTGTACCATTTTGTTAAACTTGACTGCAATTCGTTTTCAAGACCTTAGTAAGCATTATAGCTCTGGACGATCCGGGCATTTTCTGCACTCTGCCGCGCATGTGGAATTTGCAAGTGTGCGAGGCGTCTTAATCGGAGAATGGCCTTTCCATGTGAAATGAGCCTCCTGATGGCAACACTCCTGAGCCGAAACTGTCGCACGTTGATAGGGTTGATGAAAGAAGGGCCGTTTTTGCTGAACGGAAGCAAAACAGTAATTCTGCTCCCTTTTTATAGATTTTGGGGGTTTATGTCTTAATGCATATTTGAAACTTCTAGTTTTATGTACAAGTAACTAGCAAGTACCGCACTCTGATTTTCTTGAACGAAACCGTAAACTCTTCATGAAAAAGAATAGAACGCAATCTCCTTCAGTTGAATAAACCATGTGATTTTTTTGTTTGCTATAGAATGCATGAATTCTAGACTGAGACATAAAGGAGAGCGAAATTGGCCTTTAAAATACTAAAAGCAGTGACTGCGAAGGACTACCTCTATCTTTCCACGCCTTGTGCAAAAAGAATTACCACAAGACGTCCAAGCCAACGTGAAGCATGATTTACGCATCCTTTCAGTTAGGCAAATGTTTGAGCTTTATTTATAGAGTTGGATTCAAAAGCAGAAAGGCATATTTACAAGCAAAGTGAAGGTCACTAGGAAAAAAGAAAACGCAACAGACTAAAATGCTTAAATGCAGCTCTAGCAGTAAAACACCTTATGTGATTTTACAGTTTACGCTAGGTAGCACCTGTTTCCTCAATTAGAGCGAAATACTTTATCGAAATAGTTCTTACATACTAAATTGTTCTCATTCGTGCCTAGCGAAAATTCGACCCGCCTTTTGTTGTTTAGTGATCTGTCTAAGTTTGTAGGAGAAAAGAACCAATTAAGGGGAGTGCAGAATGCATTTGTCGCTTGGAATTATCTAATACGTAGGTTTGACCTTGGAAGGGTGTGTTAATATAATTGAATTATCCTTACAAATCTGTCGTACTTCTTCATCCTTTCGAAGTACTGATTTGGCATGCACCAGCTGCTTTATTGGCCATTTTGATTCTGGAATACAATAGTGCTATTATACGATGCGGAAAACATCGGTCTTCCTCGTCAGCACACTAACAATGCAACAAACACCTATTCTGAGTTAGTTTGAATTGGAAGACTGTCATAGGAAGCAGAGTATGATGGTTTTTGAAGAATGAAATTGCTCGTAAATTGTTGTCTTGCGCTCACCTTTCCCAAAGGAAGGCCAATCTCTTAAGCAGTTTCAGGCCAGATAAGAGGCTTCTCACGTTGCATTTTGGCTGAGAGCCACTACGGCCGAAACCGGTACCTTTACTGTGCATAACATCAAGTATACGGCAGATAGTAGTATCACTGCTTTCCATACCTCCGCTCACAAGAAACTTCGTACATTTCAATGTAATGCTTCGGGCACGCGGTACCACTTTTGCCCACCATCTAGATTAATATGACTCAGCTGGTCCGCGACATCGTAACATTTGTCAAAATATAAGGATAGTTATTGCTTTATATGTAAAATTGATTCACAACAGGATTTCGTTAAATATTGCAAAATGCTGCAGCGGTGAATGCGAAATCCAATCGTTAAATAGGTGTTCATCGAAAATTGCAATGCACCATGGAAAGTGATGGCTCAGCTGTACAGAACACTGCGCATACGTTCTTTTACGATTAAAGGGAAAAACTCACCTCCACATGAGTGGTAGTAAGGTGGGATATTTTAGCAGCTCAAGGAATATCACTGAAATCGCATTAATAGGAAATTTGCAATATTGCAGCAGCAATGACTGAACGCGTTGAGTTAAGGTTGGCCTTAGTGGGTGATGCAGTCTCAGGAAGGAACTCACCTGATTCCACTCTCAGAGGATTGCAGGAATCAGTGGAGAAGAAACAGGTGAATCTCCAAGAAGACATTCTTTACTTGACAGGTACTGGTGCCCTTCGGAAGTAGGGCAACGAGCGAAGGTTCGGATGAATGCAGTAGGTGTTGAGGTGATGGATCATGCGCAGCAAGCGAGTGATCTGAGGAGTGTCCTTATGCACCACTGCTTTAAGTGCAGCATTTATACCTCCATCAGGTAGAGTGGTCAGGTGAAAGCGTTGACGAAGTGGGAGGCGGTTTGAATGATTGGGCTGCGCAATCGTAGAAAGAAAATCACTCGGATTTACGTTCAGAAGGTCTCGGGAATTCACGGAGGGAGCAAAGGTGAATCCCCGAGGAAATATCTCTCTTTTGACATTTGTTGGTGCAGAATTGAAGCAATCATTCCCACAGACCAGGATACGTAATCCCCAATTTGTCAGCGTCTTGGTGTGCAATTCGTTTTGCTGAGAAATGAAGGAAGAACGGAAATACCTATTGTGAAAAACGCAGCAGCATATTGTTGAATTGAATAGATCGTGTGCAAATTTCTTACAAGCATCTCCTAGCTGCAATGATAAATTGGCGGGAACAATAGTCCTTAATAACCAATTTCATCTTTTTTAAATTGCTATCAGCAATTGCATTAAAGTGGAATGGCCTTCCCACGACTTGCATGCAATTTGGCCAAACACATTAAACGTTTGATTGCTAATGGCATGATTAGTGCCAATAGTGCTTTTTTGACTTCCGAATGCTCTAGTTTTAGTTTATGTCTGGTAGTTCAAATAATTGCGTTTTGTCGTTTCTAACTCATCTATTTGAGGGTCGCTTTATTGGGTCAGAGGCACTTTGTAGGTTTCAAACCGTCGATTTATCTATTGGTACTAAATAAACGCCAAGTTTATTTTCTTCATGTAATGACGATTTCAACCCTTATCACTTTGATGAAATTTCACATTTAAACGCATCTACAAAATTTGAATGTGGAAATAAGGCGCTGTCCTTACAGTAGACCAGACTAGGCTTATCTCCTTCAAGTAGGCTTGATGGGTTACGCAGGCAATTTACCTGTCTGTGAAGGCGACGACGAGCAAAATTGAAATGTGCAAGGATTGTCTGGTAGCATTTGTAAATTCAGTGGGATAACTTGAAAGTGAACCCAGCAATAGACACTTCTTATAGTTTCATTGATTCGATAAAAAATAAATCTGGTTAATTTATTTCGGCTCATGTGTATGCAGTTGAAGTTTAAAAGTGTTAAAGGCGATTGTTTCTTCCCAACCAAATTGGCCTATGAACCCTTGAATTGCTTTGACTCACGATTTGCCTCGTCAATATCGACAAGTATGATGAAATCGGGCTTTGAGTAGAGGTTTGAATGATCAAAATTGACGGTGTTGATGCGACTGACCACAGAAAGAGAAATGCTGCGTCTCAGATACTACCCCATGACAACAGGGAAACAAGTTTAACCTACAGATTTTGGATTAAATGGCAACCCAAATGGAATCGGCTTAGCCAGTGAGTGAGCGGAGCAACGCACCGTTACCTCAGTCGCACACGAGTAGAATTGTAAATATTTGTGACATAAGGAAGTTGCGTCACTGGTTGCTCAAAATCAACAAAGGTAAAGCATCGAACCACTTCGTAACCTCTGCCAATCCCTGCATTTCACCTTTGGGTCTGCTGTATCACCTTCGAGGTATACATCTCCGACTGGCAAAAATGGAGCACACAATTTCTTTTATAACTGACATATTTTCACCTTCCCATTTAAGGTGAAGAAAGAAAGAGCATCTTAGTTTCTACCTTTTACACGTCACAGCATCTGCAGCCGTCTTCAAAACCAACCGGCATTATTAACTTCTCTCACGGGACTAAACAGATGTACCAAGCAAATAGTAAGTGCTGCATTTGATAGTACGCTTGAGGCTGGTAATTCAGCTGCATTATTAATTCCAACCTAAAAAAATTATTAACTAAAACGTAAGAGAGATTTAACTTGAGAAACAAAGAAAAATGTCAAGCAGTCGTAAGAAGAATGGCTAACCGGAAGCTTTACAATACCTACGCATCAATCGTTGGAATGAAGTGATGTATTGGTCCCAACATTGCTACGACGAGTGAAATAAGGAATTAGAAAGACGGATTTAAATGTTTAAGCATAGTGCAGAAGTAGTGAGGGAAATATGCAGTAAAATATAAGACTTAACAGTTTTTAGGTGAAAACTTCTAGTCCTAACTGCTTACAAGCAAAAATATCGAAACAAGACGATTAACAAATCACATCAACTCACAGATGCAACTTAACAAAGCAAGCCAACTATGACATACCGTAATCAAATGCCTCGAGCAACCCAAAAAGCGCCTAGATTGCTTCTAATACACGGGTACCTCGTAGAATGGCAAAAACCTTGTTTACAATGCCTCAAAGCGAAAAGTAACATTTGTTGCTAAACGTTTGTTCTTGTGGTGATGACAGCCGACAAGACTGACTTAGAAAAGTGCGAAAATCCTAGCGTAGCGTCCCAAGTCATGCATGAAGAAGTGACAAAGCAAACCAGTACGAAAGAATAGCCTAGTATTAGTCTGTGAAACCCCAGGGTTCAATAATCGCAACCCAAAATGCACGCATTGAAGAGGCCCGTAATTAGAAGTCCATTAAAAATCAAAGCTGTCCTCTACACCAAAAAGTGGTTAATAATGGATCTAATACTCATAAACGTCATGCAATAGTTAAATTGCTATTATACTATCGAGTCCTTATGACAAATTGAATTAAATGTTCGAATGTGAACAGTTCGGATTGTAGAGTTTTAGCTTAGCTTGATTGTCCATCATGAAAGTGCTTTGGTTGCTGAGGCATGACCATCCTAAGTGGAAATCTTGTTGTCAGAGGAATAACGCAACAAAACAATGTTAATGATGCGCATTATAACTGAAGACAGATTTTCCGACTTTCTAGCCGCTTTGTGGTAGACGCTTTGTAACTATCAATATTCTCTCATTTTCCTATAATCTCTGTTATATTTATCCGATTTTCTAAGTTATTTGCTGAATGTTAGTTCGATTTTATGTGACAGCTTGGTAGTGTCCAGGGAAAAACGGAGAGAACATAAACATCAGTAAGAATGCGGGCATTTGAGGGCTGAAAAAGCCGTCTGAGGTTTAGTGCAATACTTGGAAACTTCATGTATGAGTTTTCTTTCAACCAATTCTGTGCCATGGATAATCGCTCCGGAAGAATAGTACGTAGAGGATATGAATGAAGTTTTCAGGATAAGCAGCTATTTTCGAACATGCCTAACAACCGGATAAATCACTGCAGTTGTATAGCACCCCAGTATCGGCACATGCTGTTCATCATCATCTCTGAAAGTCAATCAGTACATGGAGGAAATGGGATCTACCTTTTTCTGCCTCTTGATAGCCGCTCGCTTCGTCCTGAGAGCGGTGAGAATCGGATCACTTTTGCTTTCCACAATGATGCGTGAACGCGGTAGTATTAGGAAAAGAATCTTGTTGCTGATTTGGTGGATTAAAATCGGGTAATTTAACACAAATTGCTGCTAGAGCTCGCCTTCTTCCAATGAGTCACCAAAAGTTCGATGGTGACTGGAAAGGTGATGTCGCCTTATTCACTGAAGTACTTTGAACGCGAAGAAGAAGTTGTTTTGCGTGAAAACTGCATAAACGTCTACTTTTGAAATTTAATGCATAATCACCGTTGAATGTTAACAGCAGTCACTTTTAACTTTCTTATTTCATTTTGACGACTACGAGACTACGAAGCAAACATATTTTCATGGATCTAATCACCTCATCATGATGAACAGATCTAACTCAGTATTATCCGGTTTCTTCACTGAAGAAACTCGAATAAATTGAGCAGATGTGAGAGACAAAATTGACTGAAGTCTGACAGAGCTTTTCTGTGCCTCAGATGAAGAGAGTTTTCGATTTTATGCTCGGCCATGGTATGACATCGTATCCTAACGCCTCGATTTTCCAACACGTTGTGAAACAGGTCTTAGCAAGAAATACTAAAAAAAGGCTTGGCTCGGTTAATTGGATGGTGCACACAATCAACTTTTATCTTAAAAGTGGAACATAAGAGCACTAGACCTTTACCAACACCTCTTGCCTAAATTCCCCTCTGCATAAGTTACTTCAAGTCAACGCAGATGCCTTCAAAGGGAAATATCACTCACCCTTTCCCCTACTCAGCGGGGCAATGAACCCTTAACACTTTCCTAAATCACTTAATACCTACTTAATTGATAAAATAAGCCTTAACATAGCTCTCTCTTCCCACTCGAGTAGCGATGCCAGTCAACTCGCAGCTCTTACCACCACTCCTAACAACGTTGTGGTGTGAGCAGATCTGAAGCGCATTGCTCATTATCCAAAGGGTGGTAGTTAACTAATTAATCTTTCCCATGTGGCGTGCTACTCACGGCACAGAGCACGGATTAATCCAAACTATTCATATTCACTTTAGATTTGAAGCACTAGCCTCTTGTATACCCTTACAATTTACTACATTCTAATCAGCACCCATTAATCGGACATAGTTATCAAAAAACCTACTCACTCAATCAACAATTGTTCCGACATAAGACGATCCTACATACATACCGCTTATCTTGACCCTGCAACTCCACTTGCGTTATTGCATAGATTTTGACTAAAATCAAATAATTTGCTTGTAAATTTATGCAGTTATTTGATAAAGTGCAGTGCTAAAGGGCATCTGAAGATGACTTCCGAGTTTGCTTCACTTAATGGCATAACTATAAGTTAACAAGCACGTAAATGCTCATAACCACCCAGCGTCGCCACCTTAGCTTTATGAAACAAACCAAGTAGGAACTAACAATTTGACTTTCAGATACTAAAAACCGCGTGCATTAGCGCCAGCCATTAGGGGCGAGTATGTAAAACGATGGCACTCTGATAGTTTCCTTGTGCTTCCAAAATCGCATTTTGACTGAAATTCACAAACAGAGAACACGAAATGTATAAGTACACCTTCAAACAAATTAGCAAACTCATTACAATTTGAAAAATTAAGCTTCCCAATTGCCTATAAGGAACATAAGGCTGCATTTCTATTTTTTAATAAAGTCATAATAAGTCATACTCTAATAATTAAATTATTATTTCAACACTTCCTTCCGATTTT